ACATTTCCAACGGTTAGTGTCCCAGGGTCATGGGATCCCCTTTTGCGACCTTTCTGACAAGCAAAGTTACTGGGGAGACCAAATTCACTTAACCCTGTTACTAGTTTAACAACTGCGGTGATTCGCTTAACAAATATGGCAAGAAAAGTCATAAAATGGGACAAATTCAAATGTTTCACTTAACATACATTTTGGGCTCAATTGTGGTCGTAACTGGGGGACTACCTTCACTGCAAGAAGTAGAAATGCATTGCAGCAACCCAGAACACCAGAAAAAAAAGAAACAAAATGTATATACCACCACCCAGCAAAATGAATACCCATGAAACTTCATCATAAAGTGCCTGACCACTCAGCCCACTGCAGCACAACCAACAAGAGCTATGAAAAGGATGGCACTGCCCTAGGTCAAAAACATCTCAGAAACAACCAGCAGACTATTACAACTGCATGACATCAGTACCCAAACCACTGAAACAGATGTCAAACTCGATTTAATTGAGGGCCACATCAGGGTTGTGTTTGACCTCGGGAGGGCCAGGAGGCCGTCATGGCTGAAAACAGCCTTGATGAGTGAAGTCAAGCTGGCCATGCCTGCTCATCCCCACCCCTGGGGAGGCCACACGCAACCCACCCAGGCTCTGTTTTCAGCCGCGACTGCCTCCTGCAGCCCTCTGCCAGCAAAAATTAAGCCCCCAAGCTCCATTGTTGCTGGCAGAGGGCTGCAGGAGGCCGTCATGGCTGAAAACGGAGCCTAGGAGAGCCACACACGGCCCTCCCAAGCTCCATTTTTGATGGCTGAGGCACCGCAGGCTGGTCATTGTTTCCATGGTGGCCCCACGGGCCAGATCTAAGCACAGGCCAATTCCGGCCTGTGGGCCTTGAGTTTGACACCCCTGATCTAAAAACATCTTAAATAAAGCCAAGACACAGTAACCCAAGAAGAAAAAAACGAATCATCAACATACAGTGTAAGGATTGTAACAGCCATTGTGTAAGACTAGCGGAGCGTATCCATATACACCAACAAGCAATCGAGACAAAAATGGATGTCTCAGAAATCTCACTATGCGGACAGATTCTACCGTAGTTTTAACTGGAAACAGCGTCCTAGACCAAGCTAAATTTTAAAACGCTAGGCAATTCCTGGAAACCTGACATTCAGACAAGTCAGCCATCAATACCCTATAGAAATAAGCTATATTTACACACCATTCAAAAGTGACAATAAAAAAAGCTAAGGAGACAAAATCCAGACACATCCTCTCCAGCAGCCAACACCCAGATAAGTAGGAATTAACATTAAGTAAACAATCAAACAGAAAACAATACCCTAATCAAAGAACTATTAATGAGAAAATCACAGCCCCACCAATATTTGCAGTGCAATTAACAGTAAATAAGCAGTGAGCAAATCCCACCCTCCCTTGCATTAATGATGTTACCTAACATGGATAACAAAACCTCTATAAATAAATAACCAAACTCAGAGTACACCAAGAACTCCATATTTTAAATATGTTTTTGAGACAGTTCTACTAAACATGCTATTTGTGGCATGGTACAGACAAGGCCTTCCTATGACAAGATCTTTCCCTTGCTCTACCTCCATTTCAGTGGTGGGATTCAAAAATTTTTACTACTGGTTCTGTGGCCATGGCTTGGTGGCGTGGTGTGGTTTGGTGGGTGTGGCAGGGGAAGGATACTGTAAAATCTCTATTCTCTCCCCACTCCTGGGGGAAAGTTACTGCAAAATCCCCATTCCCTCCCCATCCCACTAACCTGCTTTCCAGCTCCGTTCTCCTGTGCAGGGCAACCAAAGGAGACCCAGCCAATCAGTTGGGACTTGGGAGGCAGAGAAGAGATGGGGGCGGGGCCAGTCAGAGGCGGGGCCAGTCAGAGGTGGCATTTGTCAGTTCTCCAAACTACTCAAAATTTCCGCTACCAGTTCTCCAGAACCGGTCAGAACCTGCTGAATGCCACCTCTGCTCCATTTCCCTTTCCCTAACTACTTTTTATTATTCCAGCTTAGCTGACTTTGCCCTAGGCAGGGAAGCATACTGTACTTTCAAACAAAGGACTGGGCTGCAACAATGCATCGTTGTTATTTTTCACAAATGCTAAGGCACTCATTGATACTGATTATTGCTCATCTGGGCTTTGATCAATCAAGATTTTTTTCCCCATTATACAGGTAGTCCTTGACTTACAACAGTTTAGTGACCGTTCGAACATACAACGGCACTGAAAAAGGTGACTTTTTCACCTTTATGACCGTTGCAGCATCCCCATGGTCATCTGATCAAAATTTAAACACTTGGCAACTGATTCATATATTTATGACGGTTGCAGTATCCCGTGGTCATGTAATCACCTTTTACGACCTGGCAAGCAAAGTTAAGGGAAGCCAGATTCACTTAACAACCATATTATTAACTTAACAAATGCAGTGATTCACTTAACAACTGTGGCAAGGGAGATCGTAAATGGGACAAAATTCATTCAACAAATGTCTCAGCAATATAAATTTTGGGCTCAATTGCGGTCATAAATCGAATATTACCTGTACTCTTTGATAAGAAAAGGCTTTCAACTAGGTAACCAGCTTTGTCACACCTTTGCTATGTGCAGAATTCTCTCCTGACAGGACAGTTCTTGATCAGTATGGGCATATTTTGGCTAGTGCAACCGAAGACCAAATCAATCTGAAACAGGGTTACACTGTTGTGTGTGTATTTAAGGTTTCTCTTCTGGAGGTCACTTTGCAAACTAACCTACTGCTGTACACATTCTCTCCTATTCTGGCTAGTTACAAATGTCAAAAGTGCCGAAAATCCAGAAAGTAACCATAAAATTGACATGATTTGTCCGGAGTATATATTTAAAAAACAACAACATTCAGGCATGGTAGGTGCCAGTCCTGGCCTGATTATTTACTTATACAGACTGAGTAACCGAAGACTGGAGTTTGGTCATAATCGTGCCATTTTCATGAGGGGAAAGGAAAATTTCCCTGAAAAATTTCGCCTACCATGGAAATTCCCAGACTGGATGGAGACAGAAAATATTCTTTGGAACGGAACGTTTTCAAGAGAAAAAAAGACTACATCAGTGTTTTTTCAAACTTGACAACATTAAGTTAGTGGACTTCAACTTCCAGAATTCCTCAGCCAGTATTCCCCAGCCAGCCATGAATTCCCCAGTGAGTCATTCTGGGAGTTGAAGTCCACGCATTTTAAAGTTGTCTTGGTTGACAAACGATATGTCTATCTGAACTTCTTTATGGAGTGGAATTGGCGCTCCATCATTCCTGGCTGGGTGAGTCTATCCAATCCAGGTTTTAAAGGGAAATCAAGTGGCACGTTGTACTTAATGCAGCATTCTCTCCCAGTCTGTTACCAACCTGGGTGAGAATATGTGATGTCTGGCTAAGTAGAATTTCCTCCCACAAGACCTGGCCCCACTGATATTGGTGAACTCCTTCCATGCAGCCTGGAAAGATAGGATAAGTAGGCTTTCCTCCAGGATTTGGGGCATGGGGTAGAGTTCTGCCAAATACATTCTGGAGTGGAGACTAAGAAATAGGCAGGTAAAAAGATAAAGCATAATTTCTACAAGTGTGCAGCTAGTTGCTTTGTATATATCCCATAAGCAACATAATATCTTAACTCATTTTCCCAAAATATTGGAGAGTTTTCAACTTCACTGACTTTAATATTCTCCCATCAGCAAATCTTAAAGGGAGATACCAGATCTCATGTGGAATTTCTTAGAATGTTGAATGTATTTTAAGTTATTTTAAAGATTGGTATTATTCACTTAAAATCAAGAGAGAGGTTTTTATAATGTTACTGTATTATTTCTCTACTAAAAAAGTTGGAGATCCTTTTTGTTCTAGATTTGTTTAATGTATTTTGGGGGGATTTTTAAATCTGTCCTGTTATCCCTTTTTCCTTTTATTTTAGTTTGTACTTTAATGTTTGATTTTGAAATTGAATAAAGATATTTTGAAAAGGAAAAAAGATTTCACAAAAGGAAGGAGCTGATGCCTCTTCCATCCTTGGATTTGAGCCGTTTTCTTAAAACAATACATTAGTGCAACATATGAGAATTAAATTTGAAATATCTGTCTCCAACATACAGTACTAGTTTAGATTGCCAAGCAGTCTCTAGATTAGAGGTCTTAGTTTGCCTAATGGGGCTTTGGTGGTCTTTATAGCAAACTGCCCCAAATGTGCCAAAGCTGACTTGGCTGAGACTTTCTTTATCTTGCCAAAACCACTGCTGAGAAAGTCTCAACTAACCAAAGCCACGTGGAGTACCAGAAGTGTATTTTAATGGGCTGATGATCAATGTAATTAAAGATCGGACAAATGCCAGTTCTAGTTCTTTTGGTTTAGCGTTTGTCTATTCTGGAGATGGGTAGCCACGCATTGATGTGAAATCTGTGGGGAGCACTAGTTAGTTAGGTTTAGCTAGTGCGCTAAAATCTCCCTGGGATTTTTTTCGGGGGGGGGGGGGGGAGAGCAGCGAATGACGTCATCGGCCAGCTTGATCGGGGAAACGATGGATCGGTTCTTGCTCTGGCCCGTGAACGGGGCAACCGAGGTTTACTTTTCTGGCCGCTGTTTGCAACACCTTAGTTCAGGGGTCTCCAACCTTGGCAACTTTAAGCCTGGAGGACTTCAATTCCCAGAATTCCCCAGCCAGCAAAGGCTTAAAGTTGCCAAGGTTGGAGACCCCTGCCTTAGTTGGATGCAATCGATTCAACCGATCTAGTTAATTCCCCAGGGGTGTCTTTCTTTCCTTCCTCGCCATTCCCACTTCCAACTTAGCGTTTCTACTTTTTTGCTGGAGAACACCGGCTCCCATAGAAAGTATCACGAGGAAGGGGATCCCTCTGTTAAGAAGCAGCGGGGATTGCAAACCAAGGTTGAAAGAAAGAAAGAAAGAAAGAAAGAAAGAAAGAAAGAAAGAAAGAAA